GACAAGATTTGTCCGGGGGAAATGTTCCAAGCAATCCAGACGTGAGTGCTAACAATAATACCTGTAAATACACAAATCTATACACGATGAAACAGATGATTAGTAGGTACTAATATAGGAGTATCAGCAGGGGAAATTAGGACATATACACAGTTATTTCTTCCTTGTGCTACTATCTCTCCAGCTTGTAATGGTTTATGGGGAGATGTTTGTACCCAAACATGACCTGATATTTGTTTCTTTTCATCAGTACTGCCAAATCCTAAATGAGCTGATTTTGGAGGGAAACTTTGTGATTCCCATACTGTGTTTTGTAAAACTGGAATTATTAATAGTTGTGCTATTCGGTGGCCTTTAGGCAAGATGATATCTTCTTCACCAAGGTTATAACAAAACACTTTGATTTCACCGTAATAATCTGCATCAATTATTCCCCCTAAGATTGTCATTCCTTTTTGTGCTAGACTAGATCGAGCAGCTATTTGTCCATAATATCCTGAAGGTAACTGTAAACCTATTCCAGTGGGTATTACATGTTGAGTTTTGCTATTTAATTTAGTTACAGAGTAGTTAAATAAATCATAACCTGCAGCAGTACTAGTAGCATTCCCAGGTTGTATTGCATCTGGGTGGAATCTCCACCAGGAGATAGTTATAGGCTCATTTGTTATTTGGGATCTGATCTCAACTGTATTAGAGGAATATATCATCCGTTGCAACGGGGTTTGGCCACTAGTTAGGGGTCTATTATTAAGTTGTTGTAAGGCTGGTAATAAAAAGGTTTTCCATCCTGAATACATTGGATTGGTTAATTTCCGTAGTTTTTCCTTTAATAACCCATTCATCCTTTCAATGAGGCCTGCTGCTTGTGGGTAATAGGGTATATGATAAATCCATTCTATATTATATTGAGCACAGTAATCAGTAATTAACTTACCTTTAAAATGGGATCCGTTGTCACTTTGTATTTGTAATGGCACTCCATAATATAAAATAATATAATCTAAGGTTTTCAGAGTATTTTGTTGGGTGGCCCATTTATAGGGACATCCAATAAGCACACCAGAATAAGTATCTACAACAGTGCATATGTAAGTGCACCCTTTAGAAATGGGGAGTGGCCCTATGTAATCTATTTGCCAAATTTGTGCCGCTTGTTTTCCTCAAGCTAATTCTCCTGTGACAATACGAGGGACATTTTGCAACCGTTCTTGGTTACAAACTGGACACTGTGTTGTGATGCTTTTACATACATCTAATGGCAGGTATATGCCTCTCTGTTGCGCCCACCTGTACATAGCTTTGGCTCCTGCATGTCCAGTGTGTTCGTGCACCCATTTTGCGCGTGCACCCATTTTGCGCACTTGGGATGATCTTCAGGGTAAGTATTAAAGCTAATTTTAGTTAATTGATCAGTCTTCTTATTGTAAATACGTTCAATAGAATCAGTAGGCACGTGAGCGTCTACGTGGAAAACAGAAACATTAGTACTTTGCAATACAATCCATATATTTTGCCATAAGTCCTTTCCCCATAAATCACGGTCACGAATCTTCCAATTATCATGCTGCCATTGTGCAATCCAAGTTAATAATCCTATCTACACAGACCAGGAATCTGTGAACACATGACATTCTCCCCCATATTCCTTTTCCAGGCACAGCCAGGCTGCTGCCTATTGCTCCACTAGCTTCTAGTGTACAATCCAGAGCGGGATTATACGCTATAGCTTTCCAGTGCCGCTTTCCCCCTATGTACTTAGCAGAGCCATCTGTAAACCATGCATGCTTCTGTTGTTCCTTACTTAAAGAGTCATATCCTTTATTAGCCCAAACTTTACTGTCAATATGTTTAACAAGTTGATCATGATTACCTTCATCAGTTGGGCAGGAAAAAACCTTTTCATGTAGCTGCAAAACTCCAGTGGGGCCTGGTTTAGCACGATTTTGTATATACCATTTCCATTTAATGACATGGGATTCTTGGGCATGTCCAATATTATGTGATACCGGGTCAGAAAGTACCCACTGCATTATTGGAATTTGAGGGCGTAAGATTACTTCTTTATCGGTGGTTAAATGTTCTGTTTCAGATAAGGCCCAGTAAGCAGTTAATAATTGTTGCTCTAACTGGGTATATGGGTTTTTACATTGGGGCAATTTTTGAGACTAAAATCCTAATGGGACTCATTTACCATTCTGCTTTTGCCAAAGACTCCAATTAGCATGTTCACTTTCTACACTAGTCATTAATTCAACAGGTCCTGACTGTAGGGGCCATAAATCTAAGGCTTGCTGGATTGCCTCTTTAGTTCTCTCAAAAGCGTCCTGTTGATCTTGAGTCCATTCAAATTGGTATTTTTTCCTAGTTACTTTAAAAAGTGGTTGTAACAGCATTCCCAAATGGGGTATATGATGTCTCCAGTATCCAAATAAGCCAATATATTTTTGTGCCTCCTTTTTGGTAGAGGGAGGGGGATGATACTTCCTAGCCTCTTTATCTAGCTCATCCCAATCAGGTTCCTCATTAGTATCATCCTAAATGTCACCATCCCAAGTATCGGGGTCCCAATCAGCTTTAGCAGTGGCAATGACAGCATGCACCTCCTTTGCATTCACTTTCCCCTTTCGTTTTCTATATTTATACTGTGCACACCGTACAGCAGCCTTTTCGGCTACTCCCTGATATATTCTTGCCTGGTCACCGAGGATAAAATTCTGACATTGTAACATAGACAATTTGCCTTGTAAATCAGCCAATTCTTTTTCTAACTGCAATTTTTCCTGTATAAGAGCTTGGCGAGCTAAGTATTGTTTGCTATAAGCAGACAACAAAATCCAGCCTCGTCTACTAATGGCAGCTAACTCCTTTCCTTTATCTACTGGCACCAGGTCCAAAACTTCACATACCTGTGCGGGATCAGCCGTCCTAAGGCGGCCGTCCCAATTTTCACTTAGGCCAGTGCCAGAGGCCCAATTACGAGCAACAGAAACAAACACAGGATCTTCCCAACCAGGAATTTCACTAACAACAATTTTAACATTTTTTTTAAAGAAAGGCATGATGCACTCCTTCTCCCCGAATCCTGCCAACTACGCCAATTTTTGTGAGCACTGCTCAGTACCAAGCTTGGATTTTCTAATCTTTTCAGGCAGATTCGTGGGAAGAAAAACACCAGCCGAGGTATATAGAGAAAAAGAGTTTATTTACAAAGAAAGAAAAAGAATTTATTTACAAGGATACCTAGAGACGCTCACAAACTTCAACACCGGCAAATAAAGCAGCACGGGTTTTCGCAAGTCCAGACCAAATCACCATCGAAGCTCAGTTCGGCTTCTGCTAAACAATCTTTTAAACTTTTTAAAACAAAAAAAGGTCAAGTCAGGACACTGTCCACGTCTTCATCATGTAACTAACATCCTTGAGGTGTTTACCAAAATGGATCAGGGAACTGGCCAGGTTCCCAGGTCCGGCTCTTCAGAGCCTTTTTTTGCATTGGGAAAATTCTGAGCTCAGAATACTCCCAATGATAAGGAAATGAAGACAACATAAAGTCTGTCCATGACTTGTAAACTTAATTAACTCCTTCTGTTCCATTACAGCTACATGATGCTACATGGTCAACAAAACTTAATGTCATTTTAGAACAAAAACAGCCATAAACAAAACAAAATTGAGTGAGCATGGTTGTCTTCCAGTAATATTTTGCAAACATTGAAATTTGAATTTTATATAATTTTCTCTTTCTTTTTTTGAGACGAAGTCTCGCTCTGTTGCCCAGGTGGGAGTGCAGTGGCTCGATCTTGGCTCACTACAACCTCCGCTTTCTGGGTTCAAGTGATTCTCCTGCCCCAGCCTCCTGAATAGCTGGGAGTGCAGGTGTGCGCCACCATGCCCAGATAATATTTTGTATTTTTAGTAGAGATGAGGTTTCACCATGTTAGCCAGGATGGTCTCAATCTCCTGACCTTGTGTTCTGCCTGCCTCGGCCTCCCAAAGTGTTGAGATTACAGGTGTGAGCCACCACACCCAGCCTGTATAATTTTCATTTGGCATGAAATATTATTCTTCATTTTTATTAACCATATAAAAATGTGAAAACCATTCTCAGCTTTCAGGTTTTACCAAAACAAGTGGCCAGTCAGATTTGGCCATAGGTTTTAATTTGCCAACTCATACTTTGTCTTACTACACAGTCATTTCTTGTCATTTCATTTGCTTGTCAGGATTTTGCTTAGTAAATTTTTCTAATGTTTTGTAAATCAATTTTTCAGAACATTTATGTTTCCAGAGACCCCACTATTTCTAAGAGGCATACATTTATTTTCAGAAACACAGAATATGTAACTCTTTTTACACTAGCAGAGGGAATGATTTTGTAAAAGCCCAAGTTGGATTTAATTATTAGAATTTTGCCTTCAAAAAATAGCTAGATTTGAGTCTTCAGAATAAATATGAGAAAATGCCAAATGTAATTATTGGTTTATAGCCAGCAGTAAGATTTTTTTCAGAACTGAAAAACAAACTAAACTTCATTATTTTAGACTAATCAAAATAAAGCTTAGTAAAGACTTATAATCCAATATAAGTCCATCTGATAATATAGTTGATTAAATTGTATTCAGGAAATTCAATCTACTTTAATGAAAGATAAGTATGGTTTAATGTAAATGAGTGTATCTAACTTACTTAAGAATACTTAAGCATTCTTTGTTTCTTATAGTAATAAGTTGTTTCAATATCATTTTATTTTTTTTTTTTGAGAGACAGTAAAACGTCATACAATTTTATTCAAAGAACATGGCAACTGTAACAGACAAAAGGAAGCATGGCGTCTAGGCCAGGAGAGTGGAGAGTTTTCCATACACAAACACATTTAAACCTCCCTGTACAAAAACACCTGCTGTTGCTTTAGAGATTGTTTTTCTTCATTAGTAGTAAAGTCTTGAATCCAGGTGCAATGCCAGCAAGTATTTCAAATAAACTTCAACGACTTGATATTCAAGTCCAAACTAAATATTTAATGTTTTCTTTATTGCAAATATGATGTCTTTGACCTGAGGTATAGAGTTGTCTTCCAGAATCTTTGCATAAGGCATAGGGACATCAGCACCAGTGACACGAACAGCAGGAGCATCCAGGAAATTGAATGCAGGACCTTCCATGATCCTGGCACAGATTTCAGCTCCTACTCCAAACTGTGGCCAGCCTCCTTCCACAGTTACAAGGTGATTTGTCTTCATGACACTGGCTTCTATGGTTTCCATGTCCATTGGTCTGATGGTACGCATATTTATCACCTCACATTCAACTCCCTCTTTAGATAGCACTGCTGCAGCTTCTAAGCAGTGGCCCACAGGTCTCGAATGGGAAACCACAGTTATATGTGTTCCTTGCCTTTCTATTTTGGCTTTTCCAATAGGAACTAGGAAATCTTTTGACTGCGCTTCCGGAGGAAATTCAAAAGGAACCCCATACATCAATTCATTTTCTAGCACCACCACTGGATTGTTATCCCGAATGGCTGATTTAATAAGTCCTTTAGCATCCTCTGAATTCCAGGGACTGACCACCTTTAAGCCTGGGCAGTGCCCATACCATGCAGCAAAGCACTGTGAGTGCTGGGCAGCTACACCTGCTGAGGCACCATTGGGCCCCCTGAAGACTATAGGCACAGACTGAAGGCCACCGGACATGTAGTAGGTCTTGGCAGCTGAGTTTATAACCTGGTCAATGGCTTGCATGGAGAAATTGAAGGTCATAAATTCACAAATGGGCCGCAACCCAGCCATAGCTGCACCTACAGCAATTCCAGCAAAGCCCATCTCTGATATGGGAGTGTCAATAATCCTCTTGTCTCCATATTTCTTCCATAGCCCTCGACTAACCTTGTATGCCCCATCGTACTGGGCAACTTCTTCTCCAAGGAGAAATACCTTCTATCTCTTTCCAGCTCCTCATCCATGCCCTGATTTATAGCATCATGAACTGTCACCTGCAGCGCAGCCGGCGCGGTCCTATGAAAGCGCCTCTTCAGCTGCCCGGAGACCTGGCGAAGGTGTCTCCGCACCAAGCCAGACACCGCCGCCATCTTGGTCGTGTCCTCTATCCCTCAATATCATTTTATATAATTTACTTAATCTATCTATAAAGAAAGATTTTTATGTCCAAAACAAAGATACAGCTCAGCTTACTCTATTCAGATGATTTCAAATACCAGTGTGAATGAATAAACAAATGCATTTCTGAGGTTTGAAGTGTCTTAGCTACAGACTGATACATGTATCAGCCTTTTAGAATTAATAACTGAGAAAAAGACAAGGTGCCTTCACTTTATAGATAATGTGATGTGAAAAGAGACTATTTTCTAACTATTCTACAAAGAAATTTTGCCTATACTTTCAGATTGCTAACAAGTCCAACTATGATCTCTGATCTGGTGGTTGCTGACAAGAAGAAGGAAAAGGGAAGATTAAAAGTCCAAATAAACATAGAGTGAAAGGATAATAGAATGGGTATTGTTAGGTGCTTAATAGGGCTCAGTGTATGGTACCCATCTTCCCCACCCAATTCAGAAATCAGTTGAAAAATAACACTGGAGTTAGGCGTGGAGTAGACCAAAGTATCAGCTTTATAGAGGGTAAGCTGTTAAAGGAGTTTATGATATACCTTTGGCAAATTGTCTCTAATGCTGAACGCTGTCATGAGAAAGCTTACTCGGCTAGTCACTAGTTGTCCCCAGTGGAGGCCAGCTCTTTGTATACATTCAGCATGGAGGACCATGCGGAGCACTGCAGCAATAAATGCCCATCCATGTAGAGGGATATGAGAAAAAGGGAGAGAAGGCATTGAGTGAAGTAGTGAAGTAAGGGGTAGATACCTAAAATTTTTAGTTTATTTACTCGCCAATTGAGAAATGTTTAAATCTGGGTTTAGGGTACAGCTTGTTCAATACATTGAATAAATTAATGAGTACATAAATAATGTCAGAGTTTCCTAAGACTTGGGGTAATCCTCCACTAGGCTGTGACTGGTTGAACTCACCATCTGATTCAGCATAATCAGCCAAAGTATAGCACCTTTCCACCATTGACAGGCCAAGCCTCTGAGCTAAAAAGGGAATCTCCACTGGGAATACTCAGAAAGAAGATAGATTTTGAATGGACAGCAGAATCCTCTGGAAGCAAACTTAGGCTTGTCTCCTATCCCAGCCTTATCTTCTGCTGCTCTCTTTCCCTTAGTTCTTACCATGACTTGTCATCCATACTCCATAACTATTCTCATTGTCTGGAATAACTGTCTGTAATCTCCCCCAAGGAATTCCTGTCCATTATCCAGTTCAAGGCCTGTTGCAAGGAGCATCTTTGAAGCCTACCTAACCTAACCAGGCTGTTGTCCTCATCACATTAAACCATGTCCAAACCATGAGATTGGTTATCATGGGAAGTAATCTGGGCTTCTAGAAAGATGTTGATGGTTGGAGTAAAAAACTAATTGCTGCACTCTAATGCTGTTCTCAGATCTCAGAATCTGTGGGCACCTATATAGCTTATGCCAGACTTATGGGATACCAATATGAATAAGATTGTCTCTCATGAAAGCTCATTACAGCAGAAGTAAGAGACATACAACAAGGTGCAAGAAGGGCTGTAGAGGATGTGAACTGTAAAGTGCTGTAGAAACACATTAAGGCACAGTTAGTTCTGTGGGCAAAGGAGAAAGATCAGCAGGGAAGATGGGATTAGGGAGTCACATGTATTGGAGAAAGACTTTGTACATACATGTCACAGGAGCCTCCTGCAGATGAAGACGTTTCAATTAGGCAGGAGGAATACAGTTTTGAGATTTATTTAACTGCATAGTGAACATAGTTAATCATAACGTATTATATATTTCAAAAGTGCTAAAATAATGGATTTAATGTTCTCACCACAAAAGAATAGGTAAGGTGATGGATGTGTTAACTAGCTTGATGAATTTTTCTGTAATTTACGTATAGATCAAAATATCACATTGTATGCCATAAATATATTACAATTTTTATTTGTCAATTTAAAAATTTTTGATGCATTCTTTTCAGTGGAGGTCAACATAGATGACCTTATACTGACTTCTACAGACAATGGTTAGGTCTTATGGTGTGTGTAAAAATATACCTATGATTGGCCACACAGGATGACTTGTTTCTGTAATCCCAGTGCTTTGGGAGGACAAGGTGGGAGGATCATGTGAGATCAGGGGTTCAAGACCAGCCTGAGCAACATAGTGAGACCGTATCTCTACAAAAAAATAAAAATAAAAATCTGTCAGGTGTGATGGTAACACCTGTAATTCTACCTATTTGGGAGGCTGAGGCTGAAGTATCTCTTCAGTCCAAAAGTTTGAGGTTACAGTGAGCTGTGATTGTGCCACTGCCCTCCAACCTGGTTGACAAAGTGACACTCTATTTCCAAGAAAAACCTAACATTTATGCTAACTTGGAATACAAAGTCAGTTTGTAAATTATTCAAATTAAAACTTGATTCAAACTGAATCCTTAAAAAGATTAATTTATATTAATTGACAAATAATAATCCTATATGTTTATGGGGTACAGTGTGACATTTTGAGTTATATATTACATTGTAAAAAGATGCAGTCAAGCTAATTAACATATCTATCACCTCACCAGCTTATCTTTTTTTGTGATGAGACTATTAAAAAATCTATTATTTTAGCATTTTGAAGTATATAATACATTATTATTAACGATGGCTGCCATGCAGTATAGTAGACCACTTAGACTTCCTTCTCCAATTTTTCTTTATCCTATCCACCATTGATGGGCACCTGGGTTGATTCCATGTTTTTAGTGTTATGAATTGCACTGCAGTGAACATACAGGTACATGTGTCCTTTTGTTAGAACTATTCATTTTCCCTTAGGTATATGCCCAGTAATGGAGTTCCTGGGTCGAATGATAGTTGAACTCTTACCTCTTTGAGAAATCTCCAAACATCTCTCCACAGTGGCTGGACTAATTTGTATTCCCACCATCAGTGTGTAAGTGTTTCCTTTTCTCTGTAGTATCAACAATATCTGTTATTTTTTGACTTTTTAATAAAAACCATTCTGGTGTGAGATGGTATCTCATAATGGTTTTGATTTGCATCACTCTGATGATTAGGGATGATAATAAGCATTTGTTTTCACATGTTTCTTGGCAACGTGTATGTCTTCTTTTGAGAACTGTCTGTGCAGTCCTCTGCCCACTTTTTAATGGGGTTGGTTTTGCTAGTTGAATAAAGTATTTTTTAGATTCTGGATATTAGAGCGTTGTTGGATACATAGTTTGAGAATATATTCTCTCATTCTCTAGGTTGTCTGTTTACTCCCTTGACAGTTCCTCTCTCTGTGAAGTAGCTCTTGAGTTTAATTAGGTCCTACTTACCAATTTGTGTTTTTGCTGCCATTGTTTTGAGGACTTAGCTATAAATTGTCAAGATCAGTATCAAGAAGGGTATTTCCATGCAGCCATAAAAAATAATAAAATCATGTCCTTTGCAGCAACATGGATGCAGCTGAAGGCCATTATCCTAAGTGAATTAATGTAGAAACAGAAAACCAAATACTGCATATTCTAATTTATAACTGCGAGCTAAACATGGAGCGCACATGGACCTAAAGATGGCAGCAACAGACCCTGGGGACTACTATGGGGGGAGAGAGAGGAAAGCAAAGGGTGAAAAACTACCTGTTGGTTACTATACTCACTACCTGGGTGATGGGTTCAATCACATTTCAAACCTCAGCATCATATAATATACCTTTGTAACAAACCTGCACATGGACCCTGATGCTAAAATAAAAATTGAAGAAAAAAATTTAAATAATAAACAGGCAAAAAATACCTTTCTGCAGTCTAACTGAAACGGCATTCTTTCATCAATACCCCCCTTTCCACATCCTCCCTCTCCATGCCCTGCAGATCTTCGGTAAAAGTAAGTACAGTTGACCTTTGAACAACTTGGCTTTGACCTGCATGGATCCACTTATTTATAGATTTTCTTCCTCCTCTGCCACTTCTGAGTAAACAAGACCAAACACTCCTCTTCCTCCTCCTCCTCCTCCTTAGCCTCTATTCAATGTGAAGATGACAAGCATGAAGAATTTTATGATGATCCCCTTCCTCTTGCTTATGAGTTTCTTAATAACAATTTTTTCTCTAGCTTACTTCATTGTAAGAATGCAGCATATTATATATGCGTGTGTGTGTGTGTGCGCGCGCGCGCTCACATAAAAGAAGTGAAACATCTCTGCAGTGAAAACTACAAAACACTGATGAAAGAAATTGAAGTGGACACACAGAAATGGAAAGATGCTCATGCTCATAGATTGGAAGAGGTAATATTGTTAAAATATTCATATTACTCAAAGAGATCTATAGAGTCAATGAAATCTCTATCAAAATACCAATTATACTCTTCACAGAAATAGTAAAAACAATACTAAAATTTTACTTTTATAGAAATATAAAGTCCCCAACTAGCCAAAGCAATCCTGAACAAAAGAAACAAATGTGGCAGTATCACACTAACTGACTTCAAAATATACTACAAACTCATTGTGATCAAATCAGCATGATTCTGGCATAAAACCAGACACATAGACCAATAGAACAGAATAGAAAACCCAGATATAAATCTACACATTTACAGCCAATCGATTTTTGACAAAAGCACCAAAAGCATATGCTGGGGAGAGGACAGATTCTTCAATGAATGGTCATTGGCAAACTGAATATTCATATGCAGAAGAATGAAACTACAACCCTGTCCCTCACCATACAAAAACCAAATCAAAATGAATTAAAGACTTAAATATAAGACCTTGACTATGAAACTGTTAGAAGAAAACATTGAGGGAATGCTTCAAGCCATTGATCTAGGCAAAGACTTTTGAGTAAGACCTCAAAAGCACAGGCAACAAAAGCAAAAATAGGCAAACAGGATTAAATCAAGATAAAAAGCTTCTGCACAGCACATAAACCAGTCAACAAAGTGAAGAGCCAACCTTCAGAATGAGGGCACTATTTGTGAACCATTTATTTACCAAGGGATTAATAACTATGATATATAAGGAACTCA